CTATTAGTAGTTAAGTTTTGGGGGACTCACAAGTTATGCATGGATTTTCAACTGTGCAGGGGGTCAGTGCCCCCAACCCCTGCACTGTTCAAGGGTCAACTGTATATATTGTTGATTCATTAACATTGCACTCACTGCCAATAGCACTGTAACTCATGCCTGAAGAAAGCTTATCTAACACACGTGTTTTCTTCCTAACACATTCTTGAGCTTAGGAACACTAAACAGCACTTCAGCACTGTGCTTGGGGGCCATTTTAAACAGCAAAATAACCAAAACAAAAAAAGGCACAAAAAAATGTGAAAACAAAATATGGCACTAAGTAAACCCTAGAAAGGACATGGCAGGCAGGGGAAGAGGAGGGATGATAGAGGGAGGCTTCAAATTTGTTCTGGAGGAAATCACAGGGAATTAAGAAGGGAGATTAGTTAGAGGAGTCTTCTTGAGCTACAAAGGCCAGTTGAAGAGGAAGGTAGATAATAAAGGGAATGACAGGAGCGAGCATATTCTCTTAAAAATAAGAGAATTCTGGGAAGGAGTTGGCAGGGAGTGGAGAGGTGGACAGTGTTAATTGTTGGAAACACAGGATCATCCTGCAGTATAGTGCAGCTGTTAATATCGTGGCCTTGGGACTAGCCTGCTCCACTCCCAACCAGCTGGGTGATCTTGGCCAAGTCACTTGACCTTTTCTATGTTCTAGTTTCTTAGTCTAAAAAATGGGGAATGATGATGGTGCTAGTACTTGTCTCATAGGTTGTTGTGTTAAGTGAATCAGCATAAAGCTCTTAAGGCAGTGTCTGGTACTAAGCACTACAACTATTGGTTATTATTCATTGGGAAGATTTATTAATACTTTTAAGAAAGAATGAATCCTCTATTTCAAATACCAGTAAATGCACCTATGATCTTAAAAGCGAACACTTCAAATCCTCTATTTTGGGTGAGAGGATGTGGTAGGAAAAGGTAAGAGAGAAGGCCAAGAAATGCAGAAGATAAGCAGGGAAGCGAATTGTTTTATTTTCTATTAAAACTTTACCCTCTTACTCAGGATAGCATATATATTTCATGTTTTGGTAGCTAAAAATTTAATTTCTTAGTATGTTATACATTGATTTAAAAACTAACTTCCATGCCAAATACAAGAAAGTACACTTTGAAATGAAAGCATTTTATATAAAACTATTATGCTAATAAGCTAATCAATGAATAGACTTAGTTTTTTTCATTGTTCGATGGCTTTTATTTACTTTTAAACTTAGGTTAGCTTTAAAATATTGCTTTCTGCAATTATAATACATAATCCCCCAAAACGGCAGTTTAATAACTAGTTAATATATATGCCTATTTTTAAAATTTTAACAAAATGTTGGGATTTCATTCCCAAAGTGAAATCTGTACTAAAAAATTCCCCCCAATTATTCTTCACCGGAAAAGAAAATGTGTTGTATATGAAAACTTTGAGAAAAGAAGATGAATCTGGACATCTCAAGGGCAGAGATATTGGAGTGTTAGAGCAAATTATTCAAGAGTAAAGGAAAAAAACTCTTGCTAGCTAGGATTCCCTCTTCCTGGCCCTGGGAACAAGGATGTGCCTGGTGGACTCTCAGGCATTGGGGAAGCTGATGATCTGATTTCAGCTATTAGAAGGCTCAGTTGGCAGCCCAGCAGTGAGCAGGATGTATTCGCAGGTGTCCTACAATTGCTGATTTGATTCTGGGAATTTAGTTTTGCTTCTTGGGGACAGCCCTGGAACAGCAAGACAATTCCAGAAAGTTGTATCACACTTAACTCCTTCATTCGGCACTGAGCATGTTTAGGTCTTTTTTCTAGAGAAAGGCTTTTCCCAGAAATGGCCTATGTTGTGAGAATTAATCAATTAATCAACAGGTATAAATATTTATTAGTTTCCTACTTTGTTTTTAGCACTGTGGAGAATACAGATGTAAACTCTGACTCTGAGATGTAAATCTGAAAATCACTGCTAATTGGAGTCATCTACAACTTGGAAATGGCTTTGTTTTACAAAAACCAGTTACACAGGACTTAATTTTTAGCCTTTTGTAGTCTAGGGTTGCTCAGGAATTATATAGAGATAAGTGTTACTTAGGCGCTTAGGAGGGCTGCAGGCTGAAGAAACAGATTCTGGAAATCAGGACATGCACATCTTGGCAGGCCATTATCTTGCCCATCACAGAGATCATGTCGCCTTAGTTGGAACCCTCTGTGTGAGTCAGAGAAGCAGGCAGTGCACTGCCAGGTGAGTGCATTTCCAGTCTAGGCCATGGCAAATGTGTTTTAGCCTACATACCATTTGAAATTTAGAAACAGAATGTTATTTATTCTCAAATAATTAAGATTTATGTGTTTTGGTATAGAAAAATGCACATATATATTTTCTATTATGTTCTAATGTAAGAAAACAGGAAAATAAATGGATGACTCATGAAACCTATGTGACACCTCCCACTCTGGTAGCATGGTGCCCTGGATTAGGTAGTGAGCCCCTGAAGTTCTTCTGTTCCTCGGCCCTGCAGGGACACTGCTGGGGCTCACAGTCAGCATATCCCTTCTTGATGCTTCTCTGCTACAATGCTTGTGGGCTCAGAATGATCGCAGGTGATCCTGGATAGCAGTGCCTGTTGGCCCCACAAGATCCTCATGCAGCTCCTTCTCAGATGAAGAGTTGATCCTTGCTTCCCTGTGACCGAAGGGGCGTTCTGCAGAACTCATTCCCTCATTCACAGGCATTCATGTGCTTGCATTTGCTGCACATCATTGTAACCAGAAACTAGCACTTTGTGGGGAACATTGGCCAGAATCCATCTAGCAATTTGATTCTACCATCTGATTCTGATTCTAATTCATGCACTGTTCTCATTTTAACCACTCTTGGACCAGCTGCCTGGGCAAGCTGGGAGTGGAAGTAAAAAATTCCATGTGAGAAAGGAAAATGAGGTCTAGGAAAGAAAGATAAGGTGAGCTTTGTGATTTGTAAGTTGCCATTCAAAATAGTCCTGACCTTTTGCTTAAAGAGACCACAGAAAGGAAATGTAGTGGCTCAAATTATCCACAGTTTGGGCTATTTATCTCAGTGTTTCCTCTAAATGGCAAGCAGCATTTGTTTATTGAGTAGGGTTCCAGGCACTTGCTGGTTACTGGGGCCATTAATACTGGGTATATTCAAAGGTCTTGTTGGGAGAGAGAGTTTATATGCTTCAGAAATCACATTACATTTGTCTGTATTTGTCAATATATACAAATTCATGTAAAACCACCTTACATTTGTTAAACACTTGACTTTTCAAAATTCTTTCACCTCAGCTATTTTATCTGGTCGTATAGCAACTCAGAAGGTAGTCAGGGCAGATATGAAAACAGAAGTATAGATTAGCCATCTTCTTCTTATCTCACTTGGGCACAGGGCTAGTTAGCGAAAGGTTAGATTAGAACCAGGACTCTTAACTTCAAACCAAGGCTCTTTCGACTTGATTATGCAGGAAAAAAATTCCAGTAACTCAAGAGTTAGAACAGAATTTTAATGACTTCAGAACTGTCAGAGCTATAACACTAATTCTCACTTACAATATATATTTAGCAGCAATTGACTATAATTTTGTGGTGGGGGGAGTAAGAAAGAAAAAACAAAATGGCATTTCATGCAATATTATATAAAAACATAACATCTTGAAAAATGTAATATTATATAAAGAAATAAGAAAGACCTAGATAAAACAAACACTTTTGCTGCTGTACTATTTTAGAAATAACACATGGTTTCTACCACATGACGAATATAAGAATCGAGTAAATGCAGAGACCACCTCTGGGCTTAAATTGTTCAACATGCATAGAGCTGAGCAACTTCTGGTCAATACAATTAACTCCACTAAAAATGGGGTGATATGCCTTTACATTTAAATTTAGACTACAGGATTTAGAATCCTTACTTCATGTGTTTTTGTTCCTTAGTCTGGCCAATCTGGGCCAATTATACAAAAATTAGTTTACTAAAAAAATGATAATACATTGGGGCTGGTTCATGCTCAGATTGATTTTCTGGATCATTTATGAGATTTAACCAGGTTGAAGTTTATTTTGCTTTGTTTTGCTTATAAACTACAGCTGCTGGAATGGTATGTTTTGTTTTGGTTTTTTGTTTTGTTTTGTTTTGTTCTTTTGTTTTTCAAGACAGAGTCTCGCTCTATCCCCTAGGAGTTCACTGGTGTCATCATAGCTCACAGCAACCTCAAACTCCTCGGCTCAACTGATCCTCTTGTCTCAGCGTCCCAAGTAGCTGGGACTACAAGTGCATGCCACAACACCTGGCTAATTTTTTCTCTTTTTGGTAGAGATGTGGTCTTGCTATTGCTCAGGCTGGTCTCACTCCTGAGTTCAAGTGATCCTCCCGCCTCAGCCTCCCAGAGTGCTAGAATTACAGGCATGAGCCACCATGCCCAGCCTTGTTTTAAAACCAAAAGTACACACAAAATCTGTTTCTTCCTGGGTTTACTTGTCAGTTGTTAGTAAATGCCAATTTTTAAGGTTCCAAAAATATACTTTAAAATGTGATTTGTCTTTTTAAAATCAAACTATCTCTTCCTGCCTCTTGAAATACTTTTGTAACCTTATTGAATATTGACAGGGAAAAGGCTACACACACAAAAAAAATTCCTTGTAAATTCTCGTGTGTATTTTGCTGATACTGTTCACAGTAGATATGAATACTGCATTTAGTTAAATGGATGAAAAGTGGCTTCTGTTTTGGAATACTACTTCGGTCTGTGAGGAATCAGGTCTGGCTCACATAAAGGGCTGGCTCATACAGGCTGTCCAGTGCCACTGTCTTACCTCTTGCAAAGAGCATAAAATAACTCCTCAGGCCTTTATTCGTCAAAGTCGAATGTGTTTCATTAGGAATTCTACTCAAAGAGAAAGTCTGCATACTGAGAAAATTATGTAGCAATCATCTTTCCCTAATCTAAAAATAAAATACAAATATGGAAAAGTTCACAGCATTTTATGCCCCAATGCTCCCCCATGACCACCTGGAGATGTGGCTGAACCAAGGGGAGGTCCTGTGGACTATCAGTGGGCACACCATCAGGAGTCTGTGCAGTAGCATCGAGGTTCTTCTCTGATTAGCTGTGTTTTCTCATTTGCATTTGAAGGCTGGAGAACAACTGGAAAGTCCACATCTAAAAGTAAACAAAGCAAAACAATAAATACCCTCTTCTCATGTTATAGTTCTTTTAATGGGGCAAGCGATGGGTATGTTTGTTGAAATTATGTCTGATAAATCAATTCATCAGATATTAATATGCCTACCTTTTTAAGGACTTCAGAAGGGAGGAGGCACTGCCTGCATTCTTCATTCTAGTTCTGTCAGTCATATAATTTTAAAACCAAAGCACTAAACCCAGCTTTCACCTGAGGGCACTTGTTGAACCTGGTGGACTTGAATTGTAGCTTTCACCATCTTGTGGGGATGGAGACAGGACCACCACATGTAGTTGTTCAGGTTGGACACTGCACAACTCCAGAGGGTACCTTTCATATAGACTACAGTGTATATCTATGTGAAAGGTGTAGGGTATGTGAAAGATTCCCGCTCAAATTCTGTAGTGTGCAATTGCATGCCTGGCCCTTGTTGGGATAAGAGTCAAAACCGAGGGCTTATTTAGGTGGAGAGTGTAATAATAGGAAGCTCCTCACATGAAGCTAGTGCCCCAAATGGTTATGCTCTCTCTAAAATCACTATACCCCTAAATCTACAAGGAGATTCATTAGTCTTAAATTTTGGTGCTGAGTTGAGGGAGCTACCCTAAAAGTGTTTAATGGCAAGCCAATGAACACACAAGTTGGCAGACAAAGTTTTCAATACTATGTGTTCTAAGAAACCTCAAGATGATAATTTAGTTTAAAGTGGTGCAATATAAGATGTACTACCAGGTACTGAGCAGAAATGAATGACCTTGTCTTCAAACTAGGCCTCAAGGAATCACTATAAGATTGCAAAATACATATGCTAATAGTAAAAACAAATAGAGAGAGAGATAGGAGAGAAGGTGATTACACTTAGAAATAATGCACACTCAGTGAAATACAGTAGAAATAATAGAAGGCCAAATTAGACCCAGAAAGACTTCAAATACTGCACTTATCAGACACAAACACAAAAGAATTACGTTTCTAAAGTTATCAAATAGATCTTGAAATTAATAAAAATCAAACTTTTAGAGATTAAAACCATGAAATTTAAAAAAAATTCAAGAAAAGGTTTAATAGCTAAAGACAGAATTAATGAAGTAGAAGACAAGTCTGAAGAGACTATCCAGAATGTAACACAAAGAGGTAAATATGAAAGAGGTTAAAAAACATGAAGAACAGTGATAAGATCTGATTTATATCTAACTCAATTTTCAGAAAAAGACTGAATAAAAAGAAGAGAGGCAACATTTGAATATTTGATGGGTAAAAGTTTTCTAGAATTGATTAAAGACACCAATACACAAATCCAAGAACTAGTTAACATAAATTAAAAAGAAACTCATATTTAAAACATGTTAGTGACATTGAACACCAAAGACTAAATAGTCTTAAAAGCAATCTTACTTCTCAGTAGCCAATATAGAAGCTAAAAAAAACCTATGGAATTGTATCTTCAACATGCTGAAAGAAAATAACCTAGATTTGTTGACAGACCCTCTTATTAAATTACATTCCTTTTTCAAAAGGTTATTATAGACAAGTATTTTTAGACAATAAAAACATAAACTTTGCCACTAGCAGATCCAATTACAAAGATGTAATTCAGGCAAAAAGGCAGTGTTATCAGATGGAATATTTGAGCTGTAGAAAGAAATGATTGGCAAAGAAAGTGGTAAATATGTGAATTAAACCAATTATTGACTATGTAAAGCAATAAAAAAATTTATGAGGTTTAAAATTGAGAAAAATCTAGAATGCAGTAATAGTATTTAAGTCAGAAAGGGGATGATCAGAACTAAAATGTTATAAAATTCTTATATTGTTCAAGAGGAGAGTTAAAGGTAAGAAATAACTTTAAGCCTTACAAATTGTGTGCTTGATAAATCTCTAGGGTAACTCTAAAAGCATAAAACAGAGAATATCATTTCCAAATCAGAGAAGGGGAAGAAATGAAATAAGAAATAAAATAGAAAGAAATGAATTGGCCAACTAATATATATAGAAAAAAATTAGCCAGGCATGGCGGCACATGCCTGTAGTCCCAGCTACTCAGGAGGCTGAAGCAGGAGGATTGCTTGAGCCCAGGAGTTTGAGGTTGCTGTGAGCTAGGTTGATGCTACCGCACTCACTCTAGCCTGTGCAACAAAGCGAGACTCTGTCTCAAAGAAAAAAAAAAAAAAAGAAAAATACTCTATAAAAAAAGAAAGAAAAAATAGGAACAGAAAAAAAACATGTCAATTTAAATTGATAATTATAATGATAAAAATACTAACAGAAAACATGTAGATAGCCCTTTTCGTGTACCCAGCACTGTTATTTGCACTTTATTAACTCAGTAGTTATAATAGTGCTATGAGGTAGGATTATTATTATACCCATTTTAAAGATGAGGAAACTGAAGCACAGACTGTAACTACTCCAAGGTTAGACAGGTATTCAGACCCAGGTAGTATTTCTCAGAGTCTGTTCTTTAAAAACTATTTTTATACTATCTCTCACAAAAAGTAAGTTAGAAAAGAATCAAAATATATCATTTGTTATAATAAATACAAATGGACTTGATACTCTATTCGGAAGAAAAATATTATCAGACCAAATCTTAAAAACCCCAGCTATATGCTGTTTACAAAAGAAACATCAAAAAACATGATGATAAGAAGTAGAGATAAAAGGATGAAAACATATTTACCACACACACTCTAAAGAAATCTACAATAACTATATTTTAACAGACAAAATAAAATATAAGACAAAAAGCATTACTAGAGATAATTAAATGTTCAATTCACCAAGTAGCTATAAAAATTCTAAACTTATATACACTAAAAACATGGCCTCAAGATACATAAAGCAAAAATTGACAGAACTGTATAGAGAAACAGAAAAATTTATCATCGCAGTGGAAGATGACTGCTTCACTCAGTAACTGAAAGCAAGGAAAAAAATATTTAACCATATGAAGAATTTGAAAAGTACTATGTCATGGACTGAACTGTGTTTCCCCCCAAATTCATATGTTGAAGTCCTAAATCCCAGTACCTCAGAATGTGGCCACATTTGGAGATAGGGTCTTTAAAGGGTAATAAAGTTAAAATGAGGTCATTAGACTGGGCCCTAATCCAGTAGGACTGGTGTCCTTATAAGAAGAGGAGATTTGGACACAGAGGAAACACCATGTGAAGTCACAGGGAGATGACCAGCTATAGGACAAGAAGAGAGGTCCCAGAAACCAACCCTGCTACCTTGATCTCTGACTTCTAGTCTCCAAGACTGTGAGAGAATAAATTTCTGTTGTTTGAAACACCCAGTCTGATACTTTGTTTTGGCAGCCCTAGCAAGCTAACACATATAATAAATTAGCTTTATTTAATAGGTATATATAGAACAAGAACCTAACAAATGCGGAATGAATTGTTTTGAAGCAATGTGGAACATTTGTAAAAATTGACCAAGTTCTAGGCTGGAAAGCAAGTCTCAAGGCATTTCAAAGTATTGGTATCATACTGTTGACATTCTCTGATCAAAGAACAATTAGATGCAAACAACAAAAAGTAACCTGGAAAACTCACACAGGTTAAAAATTAAAATACACACAGGCCTAATTTATAGACCAAAGAAAAAATCATAATAGAAATCAGAAGATATTTAGAACTCAGATGATAAGAACATGTATGTTTGTGTGTTTCTCTGTGTGTGTCTGAAGCTAAAGTGTAACTTATAGGAAGATTTATAGTCTTAAATACTTAATACAAGATAAGAAGGGCTGAAAATTAAGAAGTATAAAAATTTAAAAATTAGAAAATGCACAATAGAATAAATTGAGAAATAATAAAGAAAAGAAACTAAATAGAAACAAATATAAAAGAGAATAAAAAGTTTATTTGAGAAAACTGATAAAATTGTCAAACATCTGGTGAGAATGATTTAAAAAGAGACAGCAGAAATGCCAATATAAGGAATGAAAAATGGGTCAATGATGTAGATAATACTATAGAAGTATAAAAATATGAGACAAATTTGAAGAATCCATTTTTTGAAAGAAGAAAGGAAACCTGAATGGTTTATAAACATTAAATTAATTGAATTAATAATTTAAAATTTGCACACACATTAGCCCAGAAAGTTCTGCAAAACCCTGTAGAAAGAATCCCAATATTACACAAACGTTTCAAGAGAAGTAAAAAAAGAAGGAATACTTCCTAATTTATTTCATGAGGCATAATCTTGATACCAAACCCAGTAACAAATTTTGAGAAAGGAAAATTATAGGCTGCTTTCACTCATTAACATTGTTACAAATATCAAAAACAAAATATTAGCTAATTTATTTTATCAAAGAATAAAATAGTTAATACATTATTACTGCATTGGGTTTAATGATCTGAGGAATGCAAGGTTGTTTTAACATTGAAAAATCAATTCATATAATTCTTCATATTAACAGATTAAAGGACAAAATCATGATGATCTCAACTGATGAAAAAAGTATTTGATAAACTTTCACACTCATGATAAAATAAAACTCTAACAAAATAAGAATAGAGGACAACTTTGTTAACCTGACTGACAACCTACAGCAAACCTAACAACTATGATGCAACCTTGAAAGCACCTTTTCATCAACATTTTACTAGTAGCCTTAGCAAACACAGAAAGGCAAGAGAAAGGAAAAAAATAATAAGGGTTCAGAAAGGAAAAAAATCAGAACTAACACTACTCACAGAAGATATAAACAGTTATGTAGAAATCTTAAAGAATTTACAAATAAATAATTAGACATAGTAAGAGAATTTAGCTAGATTCTTATATTCAAAATTAATGTTTTTAAAAAGTGCATTTCTATATACCAAAAAGCCAAGGAGAAATCTAATATATATATGATTTATTGATTGATAATAAGTGGTAAAGTATTCAAGAATAAATTTAACCAAAATATATAAGATATATCTTTAGTGAAAGCCCATGAAGAAGACCTAAATAGATGAAG